TTAAATTGAGAAAAGGGATTCTTTTGCTTCAGTATCTATGGCTCCAATTTGCAAAACCTTCTTTTTCAAGGAGTTCCGCCAAGGTTCTAACCAGATATGGTTCTCAAGTCTCAACATGGACTCACAGTAAATCATTTTTAGTTCTGTAATTCTAAAGTTCACAAAATGTTTTAGTAAACAAAAAATACCAAAAGCAAACACAGAAATGAGAAGGTAACTGATCTTAGACTCTCAGACAGTGAAGTGATATTTTCAGACTGATCTTAAATCAAAATAACTTTGAAATAAACTGGAGAAACACTTGGCTTTCCATGCTGTACAGTCTGCTGGCAATATTTTTCAAAATAAAAATAAAACAATAGCATTTTAATATGAAGCCTATTACTACCTATACACTAATTTTGTTCAGTACATTAGCCACACCAATCTAGTCAAACATCTGGTCAGAGGTTAAAGACAGAGTCTCAAAATCAAGGCGAAATTTTAGTTGAACCACCTATAGAATCCACATTGGAGCCTCTTATTTTGCCTCCTCTGGAATGTCCTTTTAAAGCTTGAGTGTCTAAGGTCAGAATTTCAGTATTAAGCTCCTTAGAGTAACAGAGAAAACTGCTAGTTAAATCTGGGGGCTAAGTTCTCCTCAAAGCCTTTTGGAAAAAATACACTGTTAATTGGTTAAGGCAAAATATGTCCACACAGATTCTGGTCCCCTGAACAACCATTCTCTAAGATGATAAATGCAGAGCATGTCTTAAAACCCAGAAACCCAAAACCCGGAGTCCAGCTGGTTTAACTCTTCCATGTAAAAGTTGTGAACTAGTGCATTAGAAAAGATGTGTGGGCTGCAGGGAAATGATTTTGCACCTTGGTGAAAAGCTTTGGGGAAGGCTTAAGTGTCTGAGAAAACAGGAGACAGGAATATCTCTGGGTTCTGTCCAACACACCTTCAAGCTCTCAGGAGACAAGAGTGAAGTCCAAAACAGTGGGCATTCCCTCCCCAACGCCTTTTCAGCTGGGGACTTCCAGAGCAATTGGCCCACAGAAGAGTGATCAGCCCTAGTCAGTTGGTAACGCTGTTTCCATCTCCTAAGGTGTGTATTCCTCTTTTTCCCATGAGAAGCACAGTACTCAGCTCCAAGGCAGACTTTCAAAATTTTTCTCCGTCCCCATTCTTGTTCCAGTCACGTTCCTACACGTAGGAACATTAGCACCAGAATCTTACAAAACAGAGGACTACCCAATGCCAGAGTCATACTAGGTCATTAGAAATAAAAGGTTTCTTTGCAAAATTTGCATTAGTGTGGTTCTTAGAAGATCAGCAGAGAGGCCAGATTCCCACAATAACACTGATCAAACAGCAATAATCACAGAAACCAAAGATACACATCTATCCACAGAGAGCAGTTACAAATCTTCTTAACACCCAGAAACAAGCAAGATTTTTAAATGTGTTTTACAGTTAAATTAGGGTAAGGAAAATATTTTCTCTTACTGATCCTAGTTTTTTTCATTTTCTTCAACTGATTCTACTTTTTACCACCTACCTCCACCAAATCCACTCCCAAATAAATGTATACATTTATACAGATAACACATGAGGTTCAATGTATAAATGACCTTCTAAATGCTTATCTCTTTCTCCCTTTTTTAAATCACTTTAAATATACAACCTACTAATAGTAAATATACATTCATGTAAACAAGAAACCTATCACTATTCTTCCATTGGCTATATCTTGAAATTGTATCAGTGGACTTGCAGGTGACGGGATGGGATAACAATTGGGAAGGGACAGTTGTTCAAGGTTCCTTTGAAACACTCAGAAGTCCGTCTTTTCTTCTCCTGCAAGGCCCTTCTCAGAAAATGCAGACGATTCAGAAGTAAATGCTCAAAATCATGCATCTCTTCTAGGATAGCAGCACTTCTGCTGCAAAGGATGTCATCTCAAGTGCTAGAGCAGCATCTAAAAGCAAAGGGGGATATTTGCCACCAAACAGTTTACATAGAATCTTCCTAGAAATTGATTCCTGCCTCTCTTGCTTTCTCACACTGTATATATTGATGATATTGGTAAGTATTCCACGGTCTAAGAAAACTTTAGACCATATGTATCAAAAACAAGATTTTAAAGGCCATCTTCAGCATAATTACCCATCAAAACTATCATGTGTAGCAAGACATCTCCTTTTATGTAAATAATGACTAATTTTGACAAAATAGATCCAAGTTTTATAGACCTTGCGGTTATACAGTATGTAAAATGAATGCATTGCAATGACTTCTACTAGGGCCTTGGAAGGGACCTATAAACATGAGAAATTAAAACTTAAAATTTGTTTACTTCACAGCAAATTCATATTTGATGTCACAGACATTCAAAATGTGTTGTGGAGGTTAACAGATTAGTTTCAACAACACAGTTATGAGAATGCAGGTTTTTATTATCAACACATTTCACAGAGTTAATAAGATATGAAATTTTGAATGACTTGTCTGAGTCATTGTTTTTTAGTACTAAAAAGTTATATTTAAAAGGAAGGCAATCATTTGGTATAGCGCTAATCCCTCTTTATTGGGAAAAAAGATTACCAAGCAATCATTTAATCTCTCTTGCTTTACAAGCCCAAAGGGCAAAAGACTGATATGGGAGATAAGTATATATCCTTCTGGAGCACTTGCCACTCTAAATTCACATTACTGTATCTAACAAAATACAGGAGATTAGTTTAAAAGCAAGAGATGTAAACTCTATAAAAAGGGATTTCATCCCAGAGACAAATGCTACTTCTGTTTCTTTAAGTGGTACAATTCTTTGTCTCTCAGGAGTTCTCATGGAATCAATCATTCCAG